GGAAATTGAGGCACAGAGAGGTTAAGTAATTTTCTTACAGTCATATGACTAGTGAGTGGTAAGGTTGGGAGTTTGACTGAGGTGGTGGGTTGCCAGAGCCCAAGCTCTCAGCCTCTATACTGCACTGCCTGCCACTCAGCCCCATCTTGGGAACTGGCATTCCTTTCTCCTGGTTACTGTAACCAGAAACCAACAAGTCATCTTTGAGTCCCACCTCTCTATTATTCCCCCTGAACTAATGCTATTGTATTAGCAATTCCTGTTGACTCCACCTCTCAAAAGTCCCTCAAATATGACTACTTCTTTCCATTTTTATTGTCACTACATAGGTCCAAGCCACCAATGTGTTGGCTGTAGTCATCTTCTGTGGGTTTCTATGTTTTGATCTTCTATACTCTAGTCTTCCAGGCAGCACCCAAAGCGATCATTTTAGAAATGTGAACCACGTAATGTTACTTCCCAGCTCAAAACTTTCCAAATTTTTCTTTTTAGACCTTGAATTAAATTGAACTCTTTATAGTGACCTGAATTGTTCTGGAAAATCTGATCCCTTTTTTGACCTCTTTCCATTTCACTCTTTCTTTATGCCACAGGGGCCACCTATGTAGTTTTCTTTCTGTTCAAGACAAGCATTTGAACAAGAAAATCCTTCTTGTCTTTGGGCTTTTGCTCTAGCAATGCCCTCTACTTGTGATAGCTTTCACTTACACAGGTTTTCTCCTGGTAATTCTGTAACTTGCTGCTGAGATATCACCTCCACAGAGGTGCCTTCCTTTCCCACCACATTTAAGGTAGTTCATCTTCCCTCTCCTGCTCACCATTCATCATACTATATAGCCTCTACTAAAGACAAAGTAAATTGATTCATTTACTCTTTGTCTCCCTCTACTAAAATACAGGCTCCTTAGAGAAGGACCTTTGTTTGTCTTGTACAACATGGTGGTATTAACATTTCTGCTGGTGCAGGCCCTTTTTAGGTATGCAATAAATATTTAATGATGAATGAATAAAATGTTAAAAATTCATGGTGAGGCTGAAGCTTTTATCTCCCCTTCTAACAGGAATAGTGATTTGAGGTTCTTGGGGAAAATGATGTGAAACTACAAAATTAAAGTGATTTTTATGTGCTCAACATTTGAAATAAGAGGGTAAAAAATAAAAATTTTACCAACATTATTTTGGAGATAGAAGCAAAAGAATTTAATTTCTACCACTAAACAAAAATAGAATTAAAAAATAAAAGTTTCTCCAAGATTGCAAAAATAAAGTCCCATTTTCTAAATCCCATTTTTTGCAGATGAAATCAAAGTTTTAGAATATTGGCATCAAATTTTCTAATATTTCCATACTTTTTCATCTCTGTTTCTCCATCTTTTTTTTCTTTGATGCTACAGTAAATTTCTTTGGCCTATTATTCCTAATTTTTAAAGCTTTGGCCATATTTGAATACATGGGAATGTTTTGGGATTTATTCATTAATAGCAGATTCACATTTCAGTGTTTGTTGCATCATAGAACTTGCTTTTTATAACTTTCTTCTTAAAATAATATTGAAAAGTCACATCATTGTTGTGATCAAGAGCCGTTCTGCATCTAGAGAGACTCAGATAACTTTGCTCTAACGAGCTTATGAGGAATATATGTTAACTTTGGGTTTTAACTTCTTTGGGGTCACAGACTCTTTTGGAAGCTAAGTGAAGACTGTGTACTTTTGCCTGTCCCATAAAACACACACACACACACATACACACACACACACGAACACATTATGTACAATTTCAATGGACCTTATGAAGCCCACTTTTGGATTTCTGGCTTAGTTCTTCAAGAAGCAGTCTCAGCTCAAAGTATACCCATATTTGTTAAACTTAGAATCCAAGATAGGGAAACAGTACACAAAAGTAAAAATTGCCCACATTTTCATACTTTCCTCCTGGTGGCATTGCCCAGGGGCTTTTTCCCAGGTTTGATTCTTGCTTTGGTCTGGCTTCTAAGCTGCTCCAAGATAAATTCTCTCTCCTGGTCACTGACTACTTGGCTTTCCCTGGTCATAAGATTTATGAAAACCTAAAATAAAGCAACACTTCATATGACCACAGCACACCAGGCAGTTCCAGAACAATTGGTGAGCCTGCTTTGCTCATGCTGTCTTCTCAGCCCAAGGAAGGAGTAAATCTCAACAATGTGTTCGTGTTAGTACTCAGGTTCCTCTGAGTTGATGGCCACTGGGGACCCACACTACTATATTCTATGGTTGTTTATTATTAGAATATTATTACATAACAAAAGCAAAAGTCTACTCATTTTAAATATAAATACTTTGTTACTTTCCAAATTGTTCTTATTCCAACTAAGAAGCTTATTTGGAACTACTCAGAATCCTAAGTGCTATTCACATAATTGATAAAAAATAAACCAATGATGTAAATTGGCTGTAATGTATATTCCAAAGCCGGTTTGGCAATATATGTCAAAATCCTTAGAAATGTAGGTACCTTTTGACCAAGTAATTTCCCCTTTAAGATTCCACTTTAAGGAGATAATATATTGAGCAAAGATTATAAGGATGTGAATCATAGTAGTGCTTATATGAGCAAGTAATTGCAAAAGAACAAGTTGTCTAATAATTTAAAAACATGAGTTAATTATGCTATGATGTAGCTATGTTAAATATATACTGCCCTCCATATTTTAAAAATAATGATATACAACATGTTATAAATGGAAAAAATATTAACAATATTTATAGCTAAGAATCAGGTTCAGAAGCTGTATCTTTGTTAGGATCCTCTTGTGATGCAATCATCTTATTCACATCCATTCTAGCGCTTCCCCACTGAGGAGCAGCCAGGTTTAGGTAAAATTTTCCCTATTCTCAGCTGTATGAGTCAGCATGGCTGGGTTTTGCCAGTCTTCTGAGTATAGCAATGCCTAAGTCAATCAGCTCATCCATATTCCCCTGGCTATAGTGGTTGTTTCTCATTTAGCCAAATCCACATGCACATCAAGACTCTTGTTTAGCAGTTTGAGAGGGGATAATCTCTCTATGTATATGTTAAAAAATAAATACACAGTCTGATTACCTTTGGCAACCATCCGGCTACCATGGGGAAGACAAGCTTGAGGTTGAAGAATAGCTGAGAACCAAGACATGAATCTGGAGACCTCGTCAAAGAGTATCTGAAACCTGGCCCCTCTAGATGTTTTCAGTTGCAGAACCAATAATTCTTACTTGTTAATTATTCTAGCAAGAGTCTTGTTTTCCATACTTATAACCCAAAACATCCTAATTAATCTGAAATCTAATTATGTAAAAAGTGTATTCATATATTACAAATCTACACAATAAAATATCAATAATAATTGTCCCTTGGAGAGGATTACCAGTTATTTTTCCCTCTGCTTTGTGACTTTTTTATAATTCCAGATTTTCTATAATGAATATATATTATTCTATTCAGAAAAATCATATATAATAATTAGAGTCAGAATAATAATGTTCATCTAAGCCAAAACCATCAGACTTTTAATCCTGAATGGTGATAGGCTAAATGAAATAAAGTGAAAGCTAATATATTACTAATTTTGTTTGTTTGTTTGTTTTTACCTTTCAGAGTCACGAATGCAAAGTTCTTAATTCCAAGACTCTTATTTATTTCTGTACATGAGTTTATTTTTAAAAATTTAAAAATATGATGAGTTCAAGATCCATGGATATTGACATCTGCCTTTCTGCCCCAACATTAGGACACCTAAAATTGGTTTAGGCATGACAGAAGAAACACTGGGCTTGGGATTCCCACTCCAAAATTTCCTGGATATTTGACCTCAGGCAATTGCTTAAACTCCCTGAACCTTAGTTACTTCAGCCAAGAAATACGGGGTTGCAGTTAAGTGAAATAAGTCAAGCACAGAAAGACACATATCACATGTTCTCGCTTATATATGGGAGCTAAAAAAGTGGCTCTCATGAAGATAAGAGAGTAGATTGGTGGTTACAAGAGGCTGAGAAGGGTAGAGAGGAGGAAGGTATGAAGGAAGGTTGATAAATGGGTACAAATATATGATTTGAGAGAAGAAAATGATCTACTGTTTGATAGATCTGTGAGGTGACTATGGTTTGTAATGATCTATCATATGCTTCAAAATAGCCAGAAAAGAATAATTGAAATGTTTCTAGAATAAAGAAAAGAGAAATATTTAAGGTGATGGACATCTCAAGTATACTGATTTGATCTTTAAAAATTATATGAATGTATTAAATTATCACATGTACCCTAAATTAGGTATATTTATTATGCATCAATAAAAATTGTTTAAAAAAAGAAAAAAAAAGTGTTAGACCAAATGTTATCTACCTTTCCATCTGTGAAATTCTATGAGTGACTCTAAATTTTGCTTTATATTTGAGCGGAACTGATATTCACTGCCTGCTTTGGGAAGTATACGTAGGTTTCAACTCTCATCATAACATTGATTAATTGGTAGCCACTGTCTGCAGAGCGGTGGTAAGAAGATCTCAGAGTACATACGGAGTCACCAGGAAAAAGTACTATGATCTGTCAATGATGTTGATGAGTATTTGAATCCTCAGTCTGGCTCATATACACATATCGTACAATGTAGTCTGATTTATTTTATTATTATTTTTTGTAGCACAGTGTCCAAGTCTTTTGTGAGTGAAATAACTGGGAAGAAATCCCTTTAAAATGTATTTGCTTCTTTTCTCCTGTTCCTTTGATATCTCTTAATCATTGGTGGCATTGACTGAATAAGAGTTTGACTGAATAAAAGTACAACTTTTAGTAGTTAAAGTTCAGAAGGAAATTTCTTGCTTGTTTCTTACACTTGATATTTTCTTGTAGAAAGAGCTGCAAATGAACACTTCCTAGCAAGTAAGCAAATGTCCTAATAGTGGTTCCAAGTACGGGCAGTGTGGGTCAGTGAGTGGCTGGTTTGCAACTATGTTCACTTCTTGCTTCTGTCAAACTCATTCCTAGTGTGGAACTCCAACAGAAACCGGTGAATAAAGATCAATGTCCCAGAGAGAGACCAGAGGAGTTGGAGTCAGGAGGCATGTACCACTGCCACAGTGGCTCCCAGCCCACAGAGAACAGGGCGAATGAGCACGCCTATGCCAAGTGGAAGCTCTGTGCTGCTTCAGCAATATGCTTCATTTTCATGATTGCAGAGGTCGTGGGTGAGTCTTTCTGCAGACTTCTTTGATTAAACAAGCAAACAAATAAAACTCCGCATCATTATGGGAGGGTTACCTAAGTTCTTTTAAAGTAAGATTTAGTATTTTCTGTAAGTATAAGGTAACAATATGCTCATTGTAGATAAGTTGAAAAACAGTAGGAAACAAAATAAAATTCATCACTATTCCATATTCGAGTCATAGCCTTCAATAATTTTAGGGAGTTTTTTTGTGCAATGCATTTTCTATTCATAGCTCACAGGTTTTATTTTTTAAACATAACTGAGAGCATACTGAATGCTTTTGACCACACTGTCAAATACTCTTCAAAAACATTTTTATTCCTGAACAATATTCTCTAATATGCTCCACTGTAATTTACATAACGATTTCTCTATCGTTAGAAATTTAGGGAGTTTTTTCCTGCTTATGGACAATGTTGCAATGCAAAATCTTGAAGAAAATTCTGCCTGCCTTTCTGGTTAATCCCTTCAAAGAGATTCCTAAAAGTGGAAATAATTGCTTGAAGGACATGAATATTTGTATTACTTGATTCATACTGCCAGAGTGCTGTTGAGAAAGCTAAACAATTCATGTCTACCAGCTCTACTTGAGAATGATTCTGACTGCAAATCTTAATGACAACTAATTTTAATCTCTAAAATCTCTTTGCTATTGTATAGATGAATGTTTTAAATATTTATTTCTTTAATTGTTACTATTAGACTATTTTTGCATGCTTGTTAGTGATCTGTATTTCCCTCTGTTAATGCATTTTCTCCTTGTCTCTTAATGTCTGTTACTCATTTGTTTTTTAGAAAATTTTTTAATTCTCTATATTGATCTCTGGGAGCTCTTTATATATTAGGATATTAGACCTTTGTTATATTAGTTATAAGTGCTTTTCCAGTTTGTTGTTTAACCTTTTGATGTTTGTGTTGACTTAGATAAGTTTTAAATTTTACATAGGTAACTGTTTTAAACTTTTCATTTTGAGCTCATTTCTTTTACTACTCTTTTACTGTTTTAGTGCTTAAGAATCCTTCTCCATCTACTGAGAAGATAGCTTTTTTGTTGTTTAATTTTTGTATTTAATTTTAAAATTAATGTTGATATTAGATATATTTGTATGCTGTCAGGACTGAATTTTTTTTTAAATAGCTAACACAGTTTTCAGCATCATTTATGAAATAATTATTTTCCCCATTGATTTTTGATATTTCTTTAATCACTTATCCACAGTTTATAAATAGCAGGGTCTGTTTCTAAGGTGTTTCACTGATCTGTGTTTCTGGTCTCTGTCAAGGACATAATGTAGATTTATATGTTATAATATCTGTTATTTCCTATTAAAGATTTTTAATCTAGCAGAGAAAAGCAAAGGCTATTCATCTCTCTTTATTATCCTAATTAAACATGAGAATTGTTCTGTTCAGTTTTCCCCCATCCAATTATGATTTTCTTAATATTTAAGTTAATTTGAGAACATAGTATCTTTAAGTATTCAGCTTTCCCTCCAGGAATATGTTATGTTTCTCTATTTATCCAAATATTCTACATGTCTCATCAAGGTTTTATGGTGTTCATCTGACTACACGGACAGCCTACTTCTTGAAAGAGTTATTTCTGATTAGTGTATGTGTTTGGCTTATTCTTTCCAGGGGTGAGTGCAGTCCACCATTTTTCATGTTTTGTTTTCTAGATAATTACTTTTTGTATTCTAAAGTTTTGATTTTTGTATATTCACTTTGTACTCAATTATGCATTTGAATTATTGTCAATTCTAAATATATTTCAGTGCATGTCCCCTTTTCCTGTCTCGTGCATCTTCCTCATCCCAGGACATCACCCTCTCTTGTGCAGAAAACATATTTCTCCTCATTTCAATAGTTATATCTCTTTTGTGTGTTTCATGTTTTTATCATGTTAAACAATACCTTATGCTAAATCAAATCTATGTTTGATTATTTAGCTATTAAGCAAAATGCTTCTTGAAGGGTTAAGTGTTTTGTATTATGTTAATGAAATGTTTCTTTGTTTCAGTTTTGTAATTATTAGCAAAGAATCAAGGACGAATGTTGACTTTTAATCAAATACCTTTTCTTTTGAATTTATTGTTTTTTAAAGCTTTTTGACCCATATTTGAGGTGCGTTATATAAAGAGATTTTGAAACATGTTATGATCTTTGCATTTTTGGCATTATGATAATAGCTATTATTTATTTAATGCTTACTATGTGTTAGAAGCTGTGACAAGTGCTTTCCGTGTATTACCTTAATTAATCCTGGTGAATTCCCTAAGAGGTAGCTCTCATTGTTAATCTCACTTTATAGAAGGAACTAGAAGCACAAAGAGTAAAGTAACTCTCCCTTGGAAACATACCTGTAAGTGGGCAGGCCGTCTGAATTCCAGAGCTTATATTCCTAAGCCCTAACTATGGTGCCTCTCAAATTGACTGTGGCGGGCCATCCTTTTAATGCATTGCTGAATCTGAGTCACTGATATTTTTGTTAGGATTTTTACATCTTTATTAATAATTGAAATTTAACTATAGTTTTCTTTTTTATGTCATTTTTCTAGGTTTTTATATTTGAATTATGCATGCTTAAATGGAAAGTTTAATTTTAATAATTTTATAAAGAAATAAAAACAGTTTATGTTACATTTTATTATCTCTACCTTTTTAAAAAACTACCTAGTTATTTGTATGGCTTTGGAGACATTTTTGGAGATGATCGTTAGATGTGATTTTTAGCTTCTTCCTCACTTATTGATACACTCAAAATTTCTCCATCTTGGGTACACTTTGGCCATTTTTTTTTTCAAAGTCATTCATCTCGTTGAAAATTTCAAATGTATTATCATACCATGGAACATGATAGTTAGTTCAAATGTCCTGATATGCAATGTTATCTTATTATTTTTCCCCAAATAGAAAAAAGAACACTGTAAACTACGTGACGTATAGGACTATAAGCTACTACCAATCTGTTATCAAATGTTACCTTCACACTCTGTTACCAATATTTTGGTGGCTACATTTCTATTATCCAAAAGAAGGGGTAAATTAATCATAATCTGAGACTAGAGAAAAATAGACTCTGCTTAGCTATTTTTTGCATTATAATATCTAGCAACCAGAATTAGCTGGTTTCTTCTAGCTATGGAGTCTAATGGCCTATACACTCATATTTGGACATTTATAACTGTTGAAAACTATGAAAGAACTTAGACACGTCTAGTCCAAGACAATTCCAGGGTTGGCAATATCCTTTCAAAGTTTACAGAACTAATACCACAAAATTCCTGGAGTCAGTTCCTTTGAAGAAGCTGAATTAATAGCTTGATGGAGTCACAAAGAACTTACTTTTAGCAATTCTAATTTGGAAAACACCTTTTAGAAATTCACTAACATCTATACCAGAGGGATATTGTTTATCATTATTGGAATTAATAAGTTTGTGGATAATATTCAATAGCTTATGTAAAAGATTGACATAATGAAAAACCTAATAACAGAATTCATTTGAAATGTGATTTGAAAAGGCGATGTTCTTGGACATCCAAATAAAATTCTGGCACTACCACCTGCAAACACAGCTCAGGAAGATTCATTGACTGACTTCTTTCTTCCACTACTTTCTTCCTCTGCTTTTCCCTGAATCCATATGGATGCTGAGAATAGATGGTATCGTCCCTCCGGCTGATATCTAATAAATAGTCTGAAAAGAGATGGTCTTCTGCTCACAAAATTAATTTGTTTTAATTGACAAATAAAAATGATATATATTTATTATGTATAACATGATGTTTTGAAATATGCATATATGGTGAAATGACTAAATCGAGCTAATTAACATGGACATTACCTCACATATTTAGCATTTTTTTGTGGTAAGAACACTTAAAATCTACTCATTTTAGCAATTTGGAAGAATCCAGTACATTGTGCTTAACTATAGTCACCATGTTCTACAATAGATCTCTTAAACTTATTCCTTCTATCTAACTAATATTGTGTGTCCTTTGACCAACACCTCCCCAGCTTCTTCCTTCCCCAGCCCCTATCCCTACCGCTGGTAACCACACTTCTACTCATTGTTCTATAAATTCAGCTTTTTTAGATTACACATATAAGTGAGATCATGTGGTGTTTGTCTTTCTGTTCCTGACTTATTTCACTTAATAAAATGTTCTCCAGGTTCATCAATGTTGCTGCAAATGACAGGGTTTCCTTCTTAAAGGCTGAACAGAACTGCATTGTGTATACATACCACATTCTTTTTATCTATTTATGCGTCTATGAACACTTAGGATGATTCCATATCTTGGCTATTGTGAATAATGCTGCAATGAACAGCATTGAATGGCAGGGCAGATATATCTTCAACATATTGACTTCACTTCCTTTGGATATATACACAGTAGCAGAATTGCTGGATCATATGGTAGTTCTATTTTTAATTTTTTAAGGAACTGCTTTCTATAATGGCTGTACTGACTTACATTGCAGTTTACAAGATTTCTTTTCTTTTTTTTTCTTTTCTCCACATCCTCACCAACATTTGTCTCTCCTATTTTTGGTAATAAGCACTCTAATAGATGTGAGGTGAATTTTCCTGATGATTAGTGATGTTGAACATATTTTCATAGACCTGTTAGCCGTTTCTATGTCTTCTTTCAAGGAATGTCTGTTGAGGTTCTTTGCCCATTTTTAATCAGGTTATTTGTTTTCTTACTATTGAGTTGTTTGGCTTCCTTATATATATTTTGGATATTAACCCTTTATCATATGTATGGTCTGCAAACATTTTCTCCCATTCTGTAGATTGTCTCTTCATTCTGTTGATTGTTTCCTTTACATTTGAGTTTGATGTAATCCCAATTGTGTAATTTCACTTTTGTTGACTGGGCTTTTGGGGTCATATTTAAAAAAAAGCATTGCCCAAACCAATGTCATGGAGCTTTTCCTTTATATTTTTTTTCTAGTAGTTTTAGAGTT